CCCCAAACCCCCAAAACCCCAAAACCCCAAAACCCCAAAACCCCGAGAGGACAGAATTTAAGTGAAGGATGTTTAATAAAAATTAATAATGAATCTTTTACTTTTCCTAGTAATTATTACGATGTTTTGCAGCGGAAACGCTCTTCATATGGATACTATGGCCACGAATCAGGCGGATTCTTCGTATTTTGTTAATGGAGCACCCGAGGACTGTCAAATTTCTGCAAGCAACCAAGTTGTTGGAGTTTACTGTGCTGAGCAAAAGTATTTGTTCTTTCACAAAAAGGATGAATTCTTCAATGGAGATTTACCCACTCAAAATAAATACTCTAGCTCTTAGTCATTCCATGCTTTTCTTCTTGAGATATATTCGAATGGTTATAAGTTTCATCAAAGTGCTATAACTTTGTATAGAAGTCGAAAATCTGGAGGAAGATTATAAACACGCTAAAGTTCACAAAGGAAGCGGAGACTACTTCATAACCTCAACTAAAGGCCAGTGGTCTAACTGCGTTATAACCCAAGTAATAAACGGCGAAATAAAAACCGAACATTGGTTTGTTTTCAATACTACTACAAAACAGAAAAGAGCATGATTAAAAAGAAATCAAGAATAAAAATATAATCAACAAAAGAAGCAGAATAACTATTCGAAGGGTAAATCTGAGTCATATTATTTGAACTCTAACAATGGCTATATAGATTATTCCTCAATCTCAGACATAGAGGATTATTCATCACATTCTGATAAATTTGCACATTCTAAAGTAAGCTTCAATACTTTACCTATAGCCTACTCCAACAGAGGTAATTCTTCTTGATGATGAAGATGATATTCCAAGATACTAAACCACTAATAATACCTCAAAACTTATGTTTAGAATCAGAAAAGTCCAAAAAGGGAAACTACAACGAGAAAACAACAAATTCCAAATTCCAAAAGACTCTCATGAAGGCTACCAGGGACAGAACATAATAAGAAAAATAAAGAGCAAGAACAAAAAATTCAACCAAGGGAATTGGAGGAATAAAGGAGAAACTTTCGCTCAAAACTGGGCCAAAGATGCTTGGGAAATCGAAAGACCAGGGAAGAAAGGTAGAAATAATAAAAAACATAGAAGGCAGTTTTAGAGTCTAAGACTTTATTTTCAATTTTTCATTTTTAATTAGGGGTTTTGGGGTTTTGGGGTTTTGGGG